AGGACCTATGCAAGTATGTATTATGAACAAATAACTGATCTGGGGACATAAGTGTCTATCTCTGAATTGGCTCTCTCACTTCAACTGGGAGACACTTATACTTTGTAAATTCATCTTCATTTGTATTGTTTGCTGCCTGCCATTAAGTTCAGAGAAAGAATGTGAGCCTTTTGTCTCGTGACTTGTACTGCTACTGAAGTATAATAATTTTGAATTATACATTATTTTTTCAAGCTAAAAGGATTCTTGGAGATTTTCTTGGTACATATCATCAAATTATATGGGGGAAACTGAGGCTTAAAGGAACTGCTCAGGATCTTCCACTGGCACAATGAAAGCCAAGTCTTTTAATTTACTGTATAGTCTAATACAATAGTTCATGAAATAAATTATTAGCCATAATTAAAGCATGTCTTTTGTGTTAAAGCCTGGGACACAAATACAATAATTACCATTAATTACTAGCCCATCCCTATAGAGCAGGAACTCTACCAGACATATATAAATTATATAATGTAATCCTTTCCTTATCTCATTTTGTAAATCAGGAAGTTGAGGCCTGAAGAATTTACAGTACTTAATTTCCAGTTACCTGGCTGGCTGGTAAGCGACAGAGCCACCGTTCAACCCTTTTGTCTTTAAAACCCAAGCTCTTTTTGCTTCCCTTATTGCATCTAATGAATGCTTTTGTTTAAGTTGCAGAGATTGCAGATGCAACTAGCACAAGTTATGAGGAAGATTTATTGGGGAAGGGATTGAGAAGACAGAAGTGTGACTTCAGCTGTCATTTACTAAAGCCTTGAGATTTCCTGGCTCTGTCTTCCCTAGCTTGGTGCTAAAGTCTCAGGCCGGCTTCACATGGGTCTCATTTACCTCTAGAAAGGGAAAAGGTGAAAGCAAATCATCTATGGAGCAAGCCGCTTCATCCATGGGACTCTGCCTGGATAACTCCGGAGCAGTCCATCTACAAGGCATAAAGCCGACTCTCCAAGCCCATTCCTAGAGCTTAGTGCTATGTAACGGGGAGGCAAAGGGGTGCTTCTTATGGAAGGAAGAACTGAGGATTGTTAGAGAAAGAAGAAAAGAATGGTTCTTTTACAGGCAACCAAGATCCACCACCTCCATATGCATTCCCATTTACTTAATCAGGATGCTCAAAGGCACAGCACCGGCAGCACAGACCTAGGTAGCCATGCTCTGCACTGCTTGCTGTAAGGTGATAAGGGGAGGAGGAGCCAAGGCACATCATGCATGTCAACCTTAATCAAGCATCTTTAGATTCTTCTCTGCATACTTGGGCATTAGTCAATGAACAGATACTACTCTATCCAGGCAGGGCCTTCCCCAAATGTCTGACTCTGTACTCTCCAGGGAGAAAGTGAAGACACTGATAGTAGTCCAGTCCTCATCTTTATAACCTAGACCTGCAATCTGCCCTGTCCGTCCAGCTCTAGACAGCTTCCTCTTCCTTGTGACAGCATCCTCACAATGCATTGACTGTTTGCATGTCTAGCTCCTCCACTATGTTCTTTTGAGGGAAGGACTATTTTTTACCTAGCCTTGACCCTCAGCCTGGAGAGGCAGCACACGCCCAGTAAGAGGACAACTGCCACGGGGTGGGGGAGGGGTCAGCGCCAGGTCTGGCAGGAGGGCTGCCCATGGGATGCTGTGCCAGTCACTTACCTCCTCTCATTGCCCCCTTCCACTAATGGGGCCAAGGAACAACAGCAACCTCACACGATTATCTACGAGGTGATTGTGTAAAGTGAATAATGTTACTGTCTTTCCATATTTGTTTACTTCCGAGACACTCAGCTCTGAAACTGAGGAACATGCTAAAATACATGCACAAGGTCTCATCATAATTTAATTAGTAGTAGGGTTTTTTCCTGACGTAAAAGGACAGAAAATGATGTATCTTTCAATTTAAAGTGTCTGATTCAAAGAAATATACTATAAAAATCCAGTATCCTGCCTCTGACAAATGCCCCAAGTGCTGCGTTTCTCAGTCCCAAGAGATTCTCATGTAGCCTTCCTAGCATCCTAGACCTCTTCATTACCATCCTACCTGTCTTACCAGGATACAAATGTCCACCTTCATTTACAGTATTTGAATTAAAAGCTTCGGATAAGCTTTTTTGGAGATCACTTGTATCTTGATCTCCACGTACACTACTTATTGTACTGTATCTAGTATAATACTTCTTTTTCCAAAGGACCTTTTTTTCTTTGGTCTTATTTTTACTATTTTCTTTTATGGTACTGGGATCGAACTTTGGGCCTCGTGCTTGCTAGGCAGGCGCTGCACTGCTGAGCTACGTACCTGGCCCAACACTTACTTTTATTATCTCTACCTTTCATTCTCATCTGTCAGCACTACCCTCTCCCATAAGCTTTGAGAATGGAAAGGATCTTGTAGGGTTTTGGAAAGAACAGTTTCAGCTCTGGACTGATTTCATCACTAATGAGAGACACGTCTAGTCTGTCTGCCACCTGCAAAATGGGGGTGCTAAGATTTTCCACACAGTCACAAAGGATGCAGTGAGATCGTGGAGGGGGAGGGGCATCTGACATGGACATATTCTGGACTTCGATCAACAGGCAGATCTCTGTTTCCCTCCATAGTTCTGCCAATCGTGGCCAGCATCCCAAGACAATACTTCAGAAAAAACAGATGTCTTTTAAGGTACATTTGGTTACTTCCTATGTCCATCCACATGATGGCTGGGGTGATTTCTATCCTCCTAACGTCTAGGCAGGGTGGGAAACAAAGCAGCCCATTGTTCAATTTGCCTGCACCCAGTCTCCAGCAAGGATGTGGAGCCGCGGCTTTAAATGTCAGTGCCCCCAACTCTGCCCCATCCTGCAGGATCTGCTGCTTTTGCCAGGGCCTGTGGAGGGGCTTATCTTGATGTTTGCAAGACAGTGCAAGCTTCAACTTGAGACCGAGTTTCTGCAAATGTTACTTCTCAGAGATGAGCTCCTTTTTATGTTTGCTTTAAGTTAATAATCATTTATCTGTAGTTTTCTTACTCTTTTAAATGTTGTGCTTCCCCCTGTGTTGCACGTTAATGAAGTTGTCTTTGTTTTTTACTTGGTTTTAGACTAAAGTTGTGAAGTGAGGCTGGGAGACACTGGAGCACTCCTGGAGAGTTAACACCTGTTTGTGGTTAATGCACACTTGTCACCGCTTTTACAAGCATCCCACAGCAATCTGACTAGCAGTCAGTATTTGAGAGAGGAACACTGAGAGCAGGTACCAGAAATCACAGGGTCGGTATAGGACCTAGGTCCTAATTTCAAAACCCCAAACTCCTTAACACAGACTCCAAATGTTTGTGACTTTTTTCAAATCTATATTTTCTCTGAATATTTTAAAAAAGAGGGAGCCCCAGGTGTAATGGTACATGCCTGTAATCCTAGCATTCTGGGAGGCTGAGGCAGGAGGGTTGCAAGTTCAAGCCTGGCCTGGGCAGCTCAGTGACTCTGAGGGCAGCCTGCTTCTGCCTAACTGGGTCTGGGGGCACACCCAAGTGAGAAGACCCTGAGGTCAGTCTCCAACACGAAGGAAGGACGAGGGGTCTGAGCAGGCATTAGTCATATTTCTGTGCTTGTAAAACAGAGTTCCTCTCTCCTTTCTGTCATCACTTCATGTTTTATTTCTGAAAACGAACTCACCAGTGGGTTATTTTCCTTCACATCTTCCTGGAATTATTCCAGATTCTTATGGAATTACAGAATAAGTATCTGCTTAAAGGCATTCCATGAACCAGACAGCCTAGGAGGAGGTATGGAGGATAAATTACACGAATGAGTTAGTACAAAGCTGCTAATAAAACCTGTAACAAGGGTAAAAAGCAAAGGATATAATTTGCTGTCAAGGTTATGTAGGTTCAGCTGTCAAGAACAAGATTTCTCTGAACTGCAGTAGGAACAGAGATTTAGCCAAAGAGAAAAACAACAACAAAAAAACCTTTCAAATTCTGAGAATTGACTTGTATGAACGCCTAAGAATTCCTTTTTGGTTTGTGAGTATTTCGGCAGTATTCAAATATTCTTAGACTTTATCTGTGATTAGTTTATGAGCCACAATTCTTATAATGTGAGTGTCCTTCATTTCACAGCATGTGTATTTTCTATAGCGTTTTACGGCTTCTGCTTCTCATTTTTACTTTAGATACTTTTCTAAAGAGTAAGGAAAATTCTTGTATGGGAAGTCTCTGTATGAGAAAGGAAGGAAATTAGCTGTGAATTTAATTGGACTTTTAAGTTCACAAATACAGAAAACATTTCAAACAAAAGGCCATATCGGCTTAAATGTCTGGAGAACGCGCACACGAAAAAGAAACTTCTAGGATACACTTTGATGAACAAAAAGTGAGGTGTAAAAAAAAAAATACCTTTGGAGAAAAGCAAGCAGTGTATATTAAAAGTTAGGCTTGCACTTTAGTAAAGGGAAAGTTATTTCTAAGGGTAGAACAAGGTATCTTTTGGGCAACTGGCTTTAAAAGAAATCAGAACTCCGCTTGTATTTTATCTGTCCTCTTCTCGTTCATTGATCCCTCTTAAATGAAGCGAAGTGGTGTTTTCCCGAGGCAGAGACGCCGTGGTGCAGAACGCCGCAGAAAGGCGGAGACCGCAGGCTTTCGGTCGCCCTCCCGGGGTCTGGGCCGCTAGGGGAGCCGGGTTTCCGGCGAGGTCGGTGCGGGGCGCGTCTCCCGCGGGCTCCGGCTTTTAGGACGACCCCGTCCGCTCGCCAGTAGCCAGTCGGTCAGGACGAGAGGAAGAGGCGCTGGCGGCCGGGAGCGGCCTCGGAGGCACCTGCTGCTTGCGCTCCTGGG